CCCCCCCGGGGGGGGGTTTTTTTTCCCCCCCTTTTTTTTTTAAAAATTTTTTTTTTTTTCCTCCCCAAACCCCGGTTAAAAATTTTTAATTTTGGGGGAAAAAGGGGGTTTTTTTTTTCCCAAAATTTTTTCCCCAAAAAGGGGGCCCCCAAAAAATTTTGGGGGCCCCCCCTTTTGGGCCCCCAAAAAAAAATTTTTTCCCCCCCCCAAAAAGGGGGTTGTGGTTGGTTTGATTAGCGCTACTCTACTCTTTGCCATCCATAATCGGACCATAAAGTCACCCTCACTATTGACGCTACGTATATAGGCACAAGCTCCGTATGCACGTTCAGATGCATCCCTAAAGATGTGGAGTTTTAAGTGCGTGTACGATTCACAAACGACAAGACGTGGAATCCAAAAGGCATTCACACAAGGCAAATTTGTCACAATGGCTAGCCATTCTGAATTAAGTTCGGGAGATAATGGGTCATTCCACGATAATTTATCAAACCACATTTGTTGTAATAACATTTTCATGCTTTTTACAAAGGGGGATAACAATCCTAAAGGGTCAAAGATACTAGCAATGAGAGACAGCAAGTCACGTTTAGTATGATTGGTGGAAGACACGGTGGAACTAATTGAAAATACGAGCTCATCTGAACCTGCATACCAGCCTAAGCCTAGCAGTTTGTCAGGCTCAGTAGACCCAAAATTTAAGTCAAGTGATGACTGGTCAATTGCAGACAACAACTGAGGCTCGTTTGACTTCCACTTACGAAGTGGCCTGCACGATGCAAGTGTCTTCGTAACCTCTTGATGAATAAATCTGACGTCATCTAATTGACCTCCCCCTGTCAGGAGATCATCTACGTAGAAATCATGCTTGATGGCGTCAGCAACCTTCTCATTCATACAGTTAAGACCTAACTGATAAAGACATCGGGTAGCTAAAAATGGCGTACTAGCTGTACCATAAGTGACAGTGTTTAATTTATAAACCTTTACAGGATCTGATTCCTTACGGCGCCAGAGAACCTGCTGCAAGTGTCTATCAGATGGGTGGACTTCCACGCATCTGTACATCATCTGGATATCTCCGGCTAAGACATATTTGTACTGTCTAAACCGAAGAAGTATAGATAGAAGGTCGTCTTGAATAGTTGGACCAACCATCTGTATATCGTTTGATGAAACACCAGAAGATGTGGGACAGCTCGCATTGAAGACCACGCGAAGTTTCGTCGTACTGCTTTGCTCACGTAATATCCCGTGATGTGGTATAAAGTAACCAGAAGGGTTTAAGTCTGATTGTTTACATTCAGTCATATGCCCTAGTAATTTATACTCGGACATAAATGCGTGGTACATTTTACTAAATTCAGTTATGTATTGTCGACGCTCTAATGAATAAAGACACTGAGTTGCCTTATGGACTGAGTCTCCCAGAACAGAAGGGTTTTGTTTGAGTGGAATACGAACACAAAAGCGACCGTTCGCCAATCGAGTCGTATTTTTAATAAAATGGTTCTCACTCTTCTTCTCTTCTGGAGAGTACTGAGAAGTCATCTTATCAATCTCCTCTAACTGCCAAAACTTGCTCAAGTCAGTTCGAATTTTGTCTAAATCTGTAGAATCAGTTGAACCCAATTTAGTAAAATGACATCTTGTAACCGCTGAACCTATCAGGCGGTCTACTCACCGGCTTACCCAGCGGAGATATTCACGAGATTTGGGTTACCTCAGGGCGCCTTGTCGACAACAGAGGGGTACGGATATGTGTGCGTGTGGGCAACCTAAGGGACTCTTCAGAGAAACACAACTTACACCTCAGTCATACATACATGTATATTTCATTTAAAATACAGAGTTATAAACTTAAAATTGAATATATATAAATAGTAGGTATTTCAAAAAAAGGATCCCTCCGCGGCGCGCGTCAAGACCGAGCAGATGTTGCTAGGAGCCTCTTCGTCAGCAATCCTGCAGTTTATTTCCACACCAGCCCGAGTCGGCTATTTATATTAGGCAGGTAGGTAGGTTAGGTATTTATATTAGTTAAATTAACAAAATTACGTGACCCTGGAATGAGGCTGACCGCTTGCTTGTGAGCCGCGTGACTGCTAGTATATCAGATGGTACTTAGAAGCTCATTTACGCACAAGAAGGCCACAAACAAAAGAGCACGCCGTCTGAGAAGTATCTGTTGACCCGAAATCTGGAGCCCACTGAAGTGGGTACTTAGGACACAGAATTTTACTAAAAATTGATTAACAGACAATCAAAATGCTACTTCAGATCGGAAGACTAGAATCACTAGAGTGTCCCTTGCGGATCGAAGCCGGACTTATATATGCTCGGTTTGTGAAACTTCTAGAAAGAATCCCTTCTTTTATCATTACGACATACCGAAAAAACACGCCATCTAGTGGTCCGATGGCGGACGAAGAGACATCAATACTATAGTTACAATCTACTACGGATAAGCCAATAAGTGCGACGCGGGGCGACAGGTGTCACTATTGACAACTCCGTACGCAATACAAATATATTGGATAAATAACTGTTACAATCTTATATTATTGGAAAGCAAGGTGACGTAATTACGACTGATGGGACCGGACACGATCCAGCCTAGTCTGGTTTCAAATAAGATTGGTTTTCCAATACTTAACTTTATCCGCTGGGTACCCAGCAAGTCCCAGAAAATATCAGCACCAAGTAATAAGTCCACATCATCAGGTTTGTAAAAAGTAGGGTCAGCTAGACAGACATAAGACGGAATACATAAGTCAGGAATGTTTACATTACGACATGGCACCTCAGTTGTGATTGATGGTAAAACAAAACACTAATTTGACATTAAAACAATTATTCATTGATGTCATATCGATACGACATGTTCTACCTACGCGTGACGTCACGTTATTAATGCCAAATATCTACTTATCTATCTCATTGGTACTTAAATCTCACTGTTTACATAATCGTTGCGTTACAAACATTGATATACAAAAAACAATTTGGAGTTTAGCGCTCATTTTATGCGGACGGTTTTGATATTCTGACTGTGTATCTTGGGTTTTTTTGTATATCAATGGTTACAAAGCACGACGTATAAGCACTGCGCGAACCACATGTTCACGACCACTACGATCACGTAACTTGACCAACGCGGTCGATAACAACACATTTTAATTTTATCGAAAATGAATTAAAATTAGTAGTAAATTAAAGTAGTATCCGAGAGGATTTCCGCACAGAAAAAAAAGGGTTAGCTTTATCAATATTGTCAAGTTAGTTTTATCTTTTCATAGCTAAATATTTAAATCAGCATTTAAAACAGATAACCATATTAATGGTGTAATGTCGGTCTTATGTACCTACACTGCACTCTGATGTAATTTAGTCTATGACAAATAATGCAAAATGGCGCGTGGTAATTAAATTATTCGTATTTTTTGTAAAACAATGAAATTAGATTACTTACCGTGAAACCTGGCAACTTTGACACTTTTTGGCGGATAAAAAAGTTTGGAAAGGTTTTTCTTAAAAAAACTCTATGAGAATATAAAAAGCAATCAATCAGCTTGATAGTGCATTTTATGCATAGTTGAAATAGAATCAAAAATCTATTGTTTTCTTAAATATTATTGATATTTAAGTCCAAAAACAAAAATGGCAAAGTTAACCATCACTTGTGGTAACATTGCCATACTCAAATTTTGAATGAAATAAATGGAATTACTATAAAATATCACTGTTGTCATTGCCACAGGCTTGGTCACAGTAAAAATATACTAAAATCTTATCTTATTCTCGACTAGCAATGGAAATATCTACAATGTGGCAAATTTAGCCGCCCTTTTTAGACTTTTTCAAACAAAATAGAAATGGGAGTCAGGGTTGTCACAAGATTAAAAATATTTAGGTTTTAAAAAAACTTTATTAAATATAGGGTACCTACATAGTATAATCAGTTATTTTAACCATAAATTCAAACAAGTATAAAATAATGTTTAGGAGCATAAAATCTTTCAGTCTATCAGTAAATTATCTTATTAAAAAATAGTTAGGTACAACGATAAACTTAACCAATCTTATGATAATGTTTAGGAACTTAAAATCTTTGAACTTATCAGTAAATAAAAAAACCCTTAACGAGGATATGAGATCGACATAAATTACAATAATATAAAGGGAAGTATCTAGTAATTTTTTTTGTAAGATAAATATGATAATATTTTAAAACAAAAGACTAAAATGTTAAGAGCACAACAAATTCTTAAAAAATATTTAGGTTTCAAAATAAAGCAAACACTTTGTTAATCAGTTTTAACAAGAAACATAAACAAGCATAAGATAATATTTAGGGGTTAAAATCTTTTTACTTATCAGTAAATATAAAAATACTTAATGTACCTAATTATAAAATCATTCACCATTCATCAATCATTTATGAATCATCATAAATCACATATTGCGATGGGCACATAACCACATTATTGAACATTATACTTTGAAAAGTCGATACATTCAAATCTTAAAGTACCTCTTCGACCCTCGCGAGGGATTCCTAGGATAATTTCGATGTCACTTTTTATTGTAAAACTTATGTCATCGATATGTGGCCAATAAAATTCTCCCTTTCTGTTCCTCATAAATTTAACATACATACCAGAATCATCAATAATATCTAATACTTTTCCAACATAGTATTTGTTGGTTTTTGGTCCACAAAATTTAACCAAAACGTAACTATCAATCCGAAGAGTTTCACATTTTTTCAATGTATTTTGAACATTTTGTTCTTCAAAATCTTCACATGATTCTGATTCCGATGGTATAAAACATTCATCTTCAGAAGTATCTCTTATGGAATAACTGTCACTATTTTCGCTATCGTCGTCACTACTATCTCTCTTTATCTTCTTTTTTGCATTACATGACTCCGGTTCTTTAAGTATCAAACTTTTCTTATCTGCAGACGTTGATGGTACTTGGTTTTCGTAATCTATCTACTCTAAAAATTCTTCTCCAGGTTGAATTACGGGCAGATTCTCCTTACTTTCAGATTTAAATATATTGTAGCTTTTATCTACGTTTTTAAGATTCCATGGAAGCATCTTTTTTAAATCTGTATAGGCGCAATTATAGGGACTAAACCTTACTTCTGAAAGAATAGTAACTTTTGGTCGGGTTTCTGAATTAGGCTCATCGATCACTCGCTCTGCAAAAGTCTGCTGAGCTTCGTTAATGTTACTTCGATTTGTTTCTCTATATAATTTAGATGTCTTTTTCGTCATGAATAATTGAACTTCTTGAGAGGAAACAGACTTACCTGGAGTAATATTTACTTTTTTGTTTCTTAATTTTTGTAGAGGGTTCGCTGACCGGTTGGCTTTCAAATAATCTAAGAGCGCGGTATCGATTGTATAATTGTTTTGCTCTTCATAATCGGGTATCTTTCGTAATATTCTTTGGGGATTAAAAGGCACTATGCCTGTTGCCTTAAATCCAGCACAGATATTTGCTTTTCTAGTCATTTCTATAGCCTCTAATAAAGATTTTAACAACATGGGGAAGTGAGCTTTGTTAATTTGAGGTTCTGCTGGATTATGTATTTTATATTGGGTCAAAACATTGCGCCATTTTCTTTTTAAGGGACCAAAAAATGCCACATCCAATGGTTGGGATATGTGAGTAGAGTTTGGTGGTAAAAAAGTAAATCTTATGTTCCGCTCTTCACATTTACGCACTATATCAACATTAAGATGGCTTGAAAGATTGTCGCCTATAATCAACTTTGGACCATCGAGTTTGTTTGCCCATGGTATGATAACTGAATTAAACCAGTCTTGGAAAACTGTCGAGTCGAACCAACCAGATTTACTCCTATTATATCGCGCATTGTCAGGCCCATTTTCGCACCACGTTGTCCATAAATGCTCAGCCTTGTAAACGGTATATGTAGGTAACAGAGTACCATCCGCCGTCGCAGCAAACATTATAGAAATATTTCCTTTGGAACTATTCATTATACGTTCCGGATATTTTACCTTACGTTTAAAAATACATTTTGTTGAACCAGGATTATCGGAGAGATTGGTCTCATCATAATTTAAAATGTTTTTAGACGGTAAATTAGCAAGAGAATTACGTAAATTTTCAAAATAATTTTCAAAGTCACCAGTATTAGTAGAAGCGCGAACTCTTTTAATGTTTTGCACGGCTCTTTCTGTTAACATTTCTTTAAGGCGGGTCAAAAAATTTTTAACCCACCACTTTCCAGGAAGGTTGTCACTAAACAAATGCACCTTATTATTTTTATTCAAGTAAGTGCGGACGATGAGCCTAAGTTCCAATCTCGATACAGGTGACCCAAAATCTGCTGCTGCGGTGAGTACTTTTATTATATCTAGTTCTTCGGCAGCAGTAAGTCGTTGCTGGGCTCCTGGCTTTTTTGGGTGTTTATTTTTTACTTTATTGTCTATTGTTCTTCTGGGAATTAGAAATTGCTTTGATGCCTCTAATGATGAAATAATTTTGCGGCTTACAAGATCCACTGCGGTGTCTAGCATTTGAGACGAATAATTTTTATAGGATCTACTCCCCAATACACGTCTTGAACGGCTACCGCCCATTTTCTAAAATAATAGAATGAAAATAATTGAATATTTATACTTATATTAGCTGACTTACATGATTTTGCAGTGATAGCGTTCATGGTTACTACTCTAAGCTCGTACCTTTTAATGTGATACTATTTAATAGATCAGAATAATATATAGGATATATTTATCTATGTATGAGCAAAATCCGTTCAGTAGTCTTTGCTTGAAAGAGTAACAAATACATAAATCTTTACAAATTTCATATAAATAATAAAAGTATGATAATTTGGATCTGAAATTAAGTAACATTAAAAGTAGATTTTTTTGAATATTTTTGTGACAGCCCTAGCCTCAGAGAAAACATGGCAAAGTTCACATCACTAAAACTTTGTATTTGGTTAGTAAATTTACCAACAGTGATTTTAAGACTAAATTGATTTATAGAACGTAAATTACCATAACTTTGAAAAAAAAGCACTATTAAGAATGTTATATTAAAATTTGACTTACCTACAAAACGTAAAATCCACTTATTTACACTGAAGTTTCGGAGCACGTAGTTACCACAAATTTAGCAGATGAAAAATCTAACCGCCAAAAATGACAATTCTTTCATATCTGGGTTGTCAACTAAAATAAGATGTTACCAATCAAATATTCAAAATTATTTCAAAGTTATTGCAAACTTTAAAAAACATAAAGGTTTGACGCAATAAATTATTTTGTCTTTTAAGTCGGGTCATGGCAAATTTAACAACCTTTGGCAAAGTCGCCAGGTTTCACGGTACCGATGAAAAGTTATTCCTTTGCACTTTGCAGTGTTCCTTGAGTTCTTACTGCAATACCTCAATACACACCAAGGCATATTTTTATGATTTTTACCGTGTTTTTGTTTATTAATAGTCAAAAGTATTATCACAAATTGTGAGGGTAGTCAAAGTGTCAACATCAAAAAATTTGTGCTCTGATTTTGTATTTTATTTTAATAATATATAATTTAGTTATAAATGGCAATTAAGTGTTGAAATAAACCTATATCCTCTAGTGCAATAAATATACTTATTTCTCTACTTTACACTTTCACTTGAACTGACAACATCACAAGTTCTGAATTTCAATCATTATGGATCTGTACACTAAACTTTCTACGTGCATGGAGGAGCTCTCTTCTACCTTTGAAGCTCGAATGACACAGTATGAAGATGACCTGAAGAATGCAAAGGGCCCTGATACAGCTCATAAGAACATATCAAGTCTCTCACGTGACTTTGCAGAATTTAAATCCCTGATCTGGAAAACTATGGCCATGCTAAAGTCACAAATGGAGCTGCTGTTACTTGGCCTGGATAGGCATGAGATGGCGTCACGGCGAAAAGTCCTGCTACTGCATGGTCTAAAGGAGGAGAATGAAGATGTGCAACCTTCCCGGGCTGTCTCACTATTATCTGACAAACTTAAATTGCCCAACATCTCAGCCAATGACATTGAATCGTGTCATCGCCTAGGAAGTGACACTAAAAAGCCACGTCCTCTTCTAATACGGTTCCAGAGTTATCGTCTGAGGAATGAAGCTTGGAACAATAAGACAAAGCTTAAAGGTTCTGGGTTAACATTATCAGAGTTTCTCACGAAACCTCGTCATGACGTGTTTATGGAGGCTCGCAAACATTTTGGCATAAGGAACTGCTGGACCTCTGATGGTAGAATTGTTGTCCAACTCCCCAACAATCTGCGACGCAGGTTTGAATCTATTTCCGAGCTGCGCAAACTCCGCCTGGAATACCCAGCATCACAATCACCACTTGATGAAGCTACAAGATCTACTTCTCACAAAACAAGTGGTTCCGTTGGTGAAAAGCGTTCTCGCAAACAAGTTAAAGGTCCTATGATGTAAATATAGTTTCGATCCATTCATGTTTCATATATATTTAATATTTCTCTTTAATCACTGGTTGAGGTCAGTTGTATTTTTAAACTTCTGTCTCTTTCTAATTTCTCTAACTACATTAGTTTTGTTATTTTAGTCAGATAAGCAGACATTTCACTTTATGTATAATATGTATACAAATCTGACACCTGAAATATTGGGACGTTCTGGACTGACCAATTAGAAAACAGAAATATTGTCTATTGTCAGTGCGTTTTGTTTTTGCTTGTAATATTATTAATTTTTTTTTTTAAACCTTTGGTGCATTGAGGATAATAGTGAGAAATTAATTAATTCGTTAATTATAAGCAATTTATATATTTATTAGTATTTACTTATTAATATTACTTATTTATAATTGTATTTTTTTTTTTTTATCTTCATTTTATTTAATGTCTGGTTATTTTGATGAAAGTTTTATATCTTGTTCATCTTCTTGTGCTTCGGATGGGGACTACGCCAGTGCACTTAGTGATAGTGAGGGTGAGTCTATTAATTTAGATAAACAACTTTTTAACATTCTTGGCTCTTTTCACAACTTCCTCAATATAGTGCATATCAATGCCCAAAGTATACACGCTCACTATCCTGATATTCTATCTTCTTTCAATCCAAATTTCATCCATGCTGTCCTTATCTCTGAAACCTTCCTTAAACCTACGTTGCCTTCTTCACAATATGCATTATCAGGCTACCGGCTTATACGAAATGACAGAACTGGCAAGGGCTATGGTGGGGTTGCAATCTATTTACGATCTGATCTCACATTTACAGTCATTGATCAGTCCCCTAGCAATTACTCTGGCTTTGCAGAACACCTTTTCCTAGAAATAGATTTCCATCACACTAAATTGCTAGTGGGTGTTTATTATAGCCCTTCTTGTCATATTGACTATTTCTCGTCTTTCGAAACCAAGCTGGAAAATTTATCACCCTTATACAGTGATACTATTATTCTTGGGGATTTCAACACGTGTCTACTCAAGAATGATGTACGCAGCCGAAAACTCCGGTCCCTGGTCTCCTCACTTAACATGCATATTCTCCCGTTAAACGCAACACATCACGCTCCTCATTCTAATCCCTCTCTCTTAGACCTAATTTTCGTTTCGGATGTTAATAAAGTTGCCGCTCATGGACAACTTTCTGCTCCCTTCTCATACCATGACCTCATTTTTCTCTCCTACAAAACTATCTCTCCTAAACCTAAGCCTAAATACATTGTTTTACGCAGTTTTAGAAACATTGATGAAGCATGTTTGAGAGGGGATGTCGAAAAAATAGATTGGTCTCCTATATACAATTGTGGCGATATTGACACTAAAATTGAAAATTTCAATAAAATACTCTTAGATCTTTTCGATAAACATGCGCCACTAAAAAAAGTAAGAGTTAAGAATCTTCCTGCTCCTTGGCTTTCCGAAAAAATTAAGCATCTAATGGTCAAGCGCGATAAAGCCATGAGAAGATATAAAAAGAACTCTTCGGATGAGAATTGGTCAGTCTATAAGGTTCTCCGAAATCGCTGCAGTCGTCTGTGTCGGGATGCGAAAAGAGGCCACATTCACGATTCCATTAAAAATTTCAACTCACCACAGGTATGGCGATTCCTTAGATCTCTTGGTATTGGTAAAGCGACTAACCACACTTCAACTACTATTGATCTCAATGTGCTGAATAGGCATTTTTCCACTTCACCGGCTTGTGTAGATACTTCAGACAAGGCATCTACTCTTAGCTATCTAGCTGGTCTTCCATTGCCTCAATGTACCTCATTTTCGTTTGAACCGGTTACAGGCTGTGACGTTAAGAGACATATCCTATCTATCTCCACAAAAGCAATAGGTGATGATGGCATTCAACAACAAATGTTGCGGCCTATTGTAAGTGACGTCGTTCCAGCTATCACTCATATCATAAATTTCTCTCTCAAAGAAAACGTGTTTCCATCATCCTGGAAGAAGGCCCATGTTATCCCCTTACCTAAAACTGCTAACCCTTCCTTAGTATCTCATTTTCGACCTATATCCATTCTCCCGATCCTTTCCAAAGTGCTTGAGAGGATTGTCCGGAGTCAACTGAACAGTTTTCTTTCCTTTAATAGCCTGTTGAGTCCATACCAATCTGGTTTTCGTGCTGGCCATAGTACTGTAACCGCCTTAGTTAAAATAACAGACGATTTACGATTCGCTATGGAAAATAAACAACTGACAGTATTGGTACTACTGGACTTCAGCAGCGCCTTTAACTCTGTTGATTTTGACATCCTCTTGGGCACCCTATCGTCTCTGAATGTATCTGATTCTGTAATCGCCTGGTTCAATTCTTATCTTCGGGGTCGCACGCAACTGGTTCGCACGGATGAGTCATCTTCAGACTGGTGTGACCTTATTGCAGGCGTGCCCCAGGGTGGCGTACTATCTCCTCTACTCTTCTCCATTTTCATTAATGAAATCACCAAAGTTATTTCTTCTCGTTATCATCTTTATGCAGACGATTTGCAGCTATACCGCCATTTCAAGGTTGATGAAATCACAGAAGCCGTCACTGCCATCAATAATGATCTGCAAAACATATGTACATGGGCAAAATCGTTCGGGCTGCTTGTCAATCCCGCTAAATCTCAAGCTATCATTATTGGTGGCAGGTACATGTATAATAGCCTTGATCACACTTCACTTCCTCCAGTGTCCTATAACAAGACTGTTATACCATATTCGACACAAGTAAAAAATCTCGGGGTTTTTATGGACTGCAACATGTCATGGACCACACACATTACAGAGGTGAGTAAAAGGGTTTTTGGAACATATCACTCTCTCAAACGTCTTCAAAATTTTCTTCCTTTTCAGACTAAAGTCCTCCTCTCTCAATCCCTGCTTCTTCCCCTTCTTGACTATGCTGATGTTTCTTTTCTCGACGCTACTGAAGAACTCTGGGGTAAGCTAGAACGGTTACAAAATCTCTGTATCCGCTTCATATTTGGTCTTAAAAAGTTCGATCATGTTTCGGAATTTCGGAAACAGCTAAATTGGTTACCTATTCGGCGGCGTCGAGATCTCCATATTCTTTCCTTACTCTATTCAACTTTATACAACCCCAC